ATTTATTTTTTTTTTTTTTTTCTGATGCTGATGTATAAGCTATACATACAAAATCCATTTTACTGAGTAGGTTAAATAATGTTCTTCCTCTCAAAGGTGGGCTCTTAGGATGAAAGGCTAATTTTAACAAGCTAATTAGCACCGGCAGGCCACTTTTAGCGCTAATATTTCTGTCTTCGAATGCACAGATGAGGTCTAAATACAGGGTACACTCCAGCGGGGCTATCAGTTACAAAAGGAGGAACAGCAGTCTTCAGCTGGTTTGAGTGCTGAGCTATGATAAACTAAGTTAGCCTACCTCTAAACTACCGTAATACGCTATTTTAGGCTACGAGGAGTGGGGAATTAAATTTAGTGTATGCAAACACTTTGCTAGCACAGCATCTCATTCATATTTTGCACTATTTTTGGCAAATGGGCAAGAAGCAGTGGGTATGTTGTGCTTATAGTACTATGCTAGCCTACTATTACATTACTATAAAGTTCTATTCCTAGCAGCCAATGAGTAACTGGTATAAATGGTAAAGATTGTAAAGAGACACTCCCTGGCAGCCATTTTGGAAACAACTTTAGCTGTTATGTAAAATAGTAGTGCGTTACATGTACACTAGCTGTCTTGAATTCACTTTTACTGTATGCATACTGTACTGATCCAGAGATGTGAACAAGTAGGACACAAGTTAGATCTTTGAATTTGTTTTTTATGTTTGTTGAATTAATAGACTCTGTAGCATTTATGTTTTTGGTAAAAACCAAAAACTTCTGGACAATAGATAAATGAAAGAGCATAAAAAAAAGAGCAAACCATACTAAAGTGATCTAGCTGGTCTCCCAGCCTGGTCAAGCTGGTGTTCACTTGGTCTCTCGGGCTGGACAGTTGACAAATGCCTAAACAAACCCTCTAAAACAGTTGAGCCAAGACCCACTAGGGGGCCTCAGGAAAAAAAAAATGTTTTTTTCCCCCAGTATGATAGACAGTGAAATCTGTAGGACTGATTAACTGCCAAATAGTTGTTGATAATCTAGGATCTACCATTTAATAAAACCATACTGTATAATACAAATAGCTAATCTGACAACTGATAGCTAACTATGTATCCCACTTCTGTCCCACAGACAGTGAAGTCGTCCCTCCAGAACTTCTCCGGCCACGATCCTTCACCACAGTACATGGATCCACCTCTTTACGACGTGAAGCAGACACCTCCCGCCTGTCTGTCAGTCTTTGCGATCTTAACCTGCAACAAGATGATGCCAGGCTTCGACTCCCTCCTGCCCCTGTCGCCTGTCCCATTCCTCAAAATTCCATGAACTCCCAGCAGTCATCACTGCTTCCTTACACCTTGGAATGTGACCTACGTTTCCACCAGCTACGAGGTGCCCACATCAAAACCCTTAACGAACAGACTGTGGCCCGATCTGAACACAGCCGTGAAGAACGCACACTGGTCTTCACAGATCGCCCACTACGAATTGGTGAAACCATCTTCATCAAAGTCGTTAAGTCCAGCCCTGCTCGATCTGGGACTCTCTCATATGGTGTGACATCCTGTGACCCAGCAGTGCTTCGCCCTAGTGACCTCCCTTACAATCCTGAAGCGCTGGTTGACCGTAAGGAATTCTGGGCGGTGTGCAGGGTGCCTACTGCTTTGCAGAGTAGCGATATCCTGGGTTTCCTGGTCACACAGGAAGGGGAAGTCATTCTGAGTCATAATGGTAACAATGTGGGGATGCAGGTGTGTGTGGACAACTCACGACCACTCTGGATGTTCTTTGGACTGCATGGTGCTGTCACGCAGCTGAGGATTCTAGGTAAGCAAGACAAATCTGCATTATCTAGGTGTGTTAGTCCGACTTTCAAAAAACAAACTTAAGGTGCTTTCACACAGGCAGTTTAGTTCAAAACAGGGCATGGTTCACATTAAAAATTGGTAATGTGAAAGCTGTCATGAGGACCTGGGACCGCACTAGGGTACAGAACCCGAGAACACCTGTAGGACGTGGTCTGAGTTTGGTTACACTGAAACTGTGGCACAATTTGCATGAATGTGAGAGCAAGAAAAATGTTAAAATGATCATTAAGACATTTGTTATACAATGTAAGATTTAAAAAAAAAAAACTGTGCCATTGCTATTATTGGTAACAACAGATTAATTTCAAAACTTGAATTTTGTTCATAACAAAAATACAGGCACACTCCAGTAACCTTTCAGAACACCAGACAGTGCTCCAGGTCTCACCCACACACCTGTGACTGACACACTCTCAATAAAGTTTGAACTAAACAAAGGACGTGCAGACGAAAACATATACAGCTAAAACAGGAAGTATTACAGGAGTTTGTGTGGGAGGGCTGTGACCTCTGTTAGCTTCGTATGCTCTCTCCAAGATGTCGCTGGAAGCACGTTCCCCTCCCTCCACCAATGCGCTCACCCCATCTCATTAGCATGCGGTGAAGGAAAGGAAATGAGAAAGTGAAGAGGAGAGTGGGCGATTCACACTTCATTTGAGAACATTCTTTTGAGAACCTTTCTCTCGTTTACATCTCTTTTCTCTATTTCTCATTCCTATTTCCCCTCTTAGCATAATGTTTTTGTTTTCAAGATTTAAGGTTCAAAACATCATTGTAATAACAATTTGCTTGTTAGAAAATGGTCTCATTGTGCTCATTCAACAGTAACGGCAGAGGGAATATACAATGAAGTCATGAAAAATGAGGAAACCTGAAAGAAATACCAGAGCTTGCAAGACTGCAAAAGAAAAAGGTTTTACGTAATCTTAGGTTTTTGGTTCTAGGTAAATTAAGAGAATAAATATAACAATATTAATCAATATATTATTACTAATCTGTAAGTAAATAACCTTTTTGATTCGCAAAATGCCACCAATTAGCATAATACCTTGCAAAAAAAAGAGAGAGAGAGAGAGAGAGACGGCGTAATGATACTAGAGATGTGAATGTTGTAACCGTGTTACCATATGTTGCCATAGACAATGGTTATTATACAATCATGCTAAATGCCATGATTGATCAGGAGAATCAAGTATTCCAGAGAGCTGTGTAATAAAGACAGCCGCCAGAAAGACCAATCACAACTCAGAATGCAAATAAATCCAAGGAAGAAGACTGAATCACAATTCAGTATGCAAATATTGACTGTTAGTATGCATGCAGTGACTGTCGGTTAGATTTCACCACCCTGCAAATACTAATTAAATCTAGTGGTAATAAATGAAATGCACCAACACATGCATATAATAGACATAATTACTTCTTTCTCGACTTTCTCCATCACCAGTGATGGAGAAAGTCGAGAAAGAAGTTTATTGCAGGTGCCTGCTAGTTACAGTAATTGATCATTCAACGTATGCTTTCCCCATGATGTCAGTAAGAGCTCACATGGTAACAGAGACTATATAATTGGTTTAAAGACAGAGACAGGAAAAGTCACACTTGTCAACAGAAAAACAGAAACACACCTGCTTTCATCACTGATAATAACAGGAAATGCTTCTTGAGCAACAAATTAGCATATTATAATCATGTGACACTGAAGACTGGAGTAATGACTGCTAGAAATTAAGCTTTGCCATAGCAGGAATAATTTACATTTTAAAATATATTAAAACAGGAAATAGTTTCTTTAAATTGTAATATTTCACAATATTAATGTTCTGTTTTTACTGTATTTTTGACCAAATAAATGCATCCTTGGTGAGCATACGAGACTTTTGAACAACAGTGCATACTGTACATATGAAATATACTTGTTCTGGAATCAAAATAAAATAAAATGGAATAAAAGTGACATTTACTTTACCAAATCAATACTGAATGCAGAGCACTGCCCCAGCAATTTCAGTTCGAGACCCCTAACGTAGGGCATATGTGAAGACATGAAGCTCACACCTTTACTTAAGCATAAACAGCATTATTTGACAGATGAACTATGTAACTGTTTATACCATGCAAGCTGGTTTAGTCAGTACCCCTTTGGTATTCAAAATACAGAAAAGCCTTTCTGCCATGTTGGCACATAGTGCTCATTGTACGCATGACAGAAGGCTTTAGAGAGGCCCGACTTTCTCTAATAGTTTTTTTTTTAAGTCTCTCCATCTACGGGTGGAGGTTAGAGAGACTCAGCTGTTCTTGTGTCCCTGTTAATCTAGTAGAGACGCTCTTGAAGAGGCCTGGCCCTTGTGATCCAGGACCAGTTGCTGAGGCCTAGAGAAGGGGATTTATGATATGTCTATGTGTGGAATGACAAGAAGGTGGAATGGCATGTCAGACTCACAAAGGATCACGCTCAGTGGACTCCACCCCATATATAACCTCTCACCCCATCTCCATCTTAATAAAGGATCATGCTGTAGGACTAACATACTGTATGCAAAAATGTGAGCAAAAAACACACACATATAAATCAAACCACTGACGGACCTAAAACAAGACCTTGGGGAATCTCACTGACTCCCATCTCAGGGCTCGCAAAATCGCTAGCCCGACAATGTCCTGACATTTTATCCTACCCGGATTGGCCTACCAGGGTTTACTGCGCATGCGCACATCAATATTGCGTCCTTTTTCTCATGCTGAACAACAATATTTAATGTATCTGCATTCTGCATTACTGTAAGGGTAGGTTTAGGGTTGGGGTAGGTGTAGACTTTAATAAAACACAATCTAATAGGTAGAAAACAATTTTTATTGTTGGTTTCCTGTAGCTGTATCCCTTCTAGTTACAACCGCGAATATAACACATAATTACTGTATTTGCATTACTGTAAGGGTAGGTTTAGGGTTGTGGTAGGTGTAGACGTTAATAACCCATAATTTTACAGGTAGCATTTTTCGTTGTCGAATTGTACTACCCGTTTTAATGGGAGGTAGCAAAATCTGACAGGGTAGCACAAATCCACAGAACACTGGGGCTATTGTGTTTTCCAGTCGGGCTACCAAAATGTATCACTGCCCTGCCTGACAGGCTATCTTGAATAGTGACATAAAATACCTTCTTTGATTCGCGTTGTTCACTCGCTTGTAGGGGTGAAACGGATCATAGTTTATCATTTACATGTGTTTCTAAGTCTTACCAATTTAAACATTCAAGCGTTTTAAACCATTCATGCGCATGAAGAATTCAGTTCGGTGCTCAAAGCGCGCACAGAGTGGCATTTCAGGTAGAGCACGAACACAGAATTGATTCCTCTTTAGCTTGAACAGACACATACACGCAAAATTATCTCAAAATAACTATCTCAGCAAGTGTTTTCATGTCTTGAACGTAAACATTGGAGAAAGAAATCGCACGTGCATCATTAAATTGGATCCGTGCCTTCGGTCTTAAAAGAGGCAGGAGCCTATAAATGCCTGCTGTTTAAGCGCCACCTGCTGTCAGAGAGTAACATTTGAGTCTCATTCAGGCCGTCTGCTGTTTTTGTTTCGTTCAGATTTTTTATGTAGTATCACAAAGCTAAAGTCAGACCATTTTGTTTTTGTTTCAAATGTCATCATTTTACAATTTAAATAACATTTATGCAGCATCTTTGTTTGGATCGTGATTAAAATACACAGGCAAAACCTTAGTTTACTTGCATGGAGAAATTTATTGTATTTGTATTATTTATTTATTTGATTTGGGATTTGCTTTAAAATTTCAAGTTAGTATATTGTTTGACATTTTCAATTTCACGTAGTGTGCAGCCTTTTGGTCTGAGAAATAACAAAAGGACACCTTTCAAATCTGTCTTAAATCTCATTTTGCTAAAAAAAGAAATTGTGAGAAAATTGTATTGTGAAATCAGTATCGTGAATCATCACATCGTGAGTTGAGTGAATCGTTACATCCCTATATGCTATTAGTTTTTTCTGTGGTATCGAAGTAGTAAATTGTTCTTTAAATAATAAGTGTTACTTAAATAATAAAGAACCATATTTTTTTTGCTCATCTGAAAAATTATCTGATCTGTGACTCAACATGTGATATAATCCGAACCATGAGATTTGTGATCCATTGCACCCCTACTCTTGACTTGTTATTTGAAGAAAAAATACAATATCTTTTATTCGGGCTAGTTAAATTCATTTTTGGGCTACCAAAATCTGAAGAATGCCTGCCCAAAGGGCTACCAGGGATTTTGACATTTTGCGAGCCCTGCATCTAATATTGTCATAGACCTCATCCAGAGTAAATGCACACTACACACACACACACTAGCCTCAGAGGATAATGTATTCATGGGTTTTAGGTCAGCTTAGTTTCAGTTCAGCCAATTCTCCCTCTCATATACATACACATATATGTCAGAAGATCCAGTATACTAGAAATGAGGTCTCTTCAATTTAATTCAGTCTCAACTCTACAGACTACATTAAAAGCCCCAGAATTAGGGGTGGAAACTGTTAGGAAATTAATGAGTCTGGTTCCGATTCAGATTCCAATTAATGACTTTCCTAATGATTCCTTTAACAATTCTATTAGAACTTAAACAGATCCCCTCCCCTCCAATAATTGGTCACATACACCATATTTAATCATGTATTGTAACAAAATCCATATCAAAATTTATATTAAAGTACTGTTTTGTACAAAACTGAATATGTATTTTTCACTACATGTTGCTATATGAGCAACCAATCAGTAAATAGGCTGAATTTATTTGCAGTTCAGTGAATAAATCAATAAATGCTCCAAATGGTGATCTCTCACTGAGCAAATTGCTGTTCCATTTTATTCAAGCTGTATAGATTAGGTCTGTTAGTTAAAATGCAAGGTGGCTTTCTCGTTTGGTTGCCTGAGTGTTGGATCTGTTAACGAATCTCAGGCTAGCATACACTCTAAAAAATGCTGGGTTAAATACAACCCAGTGCTGGGTAAAATAGGGACAAACCCAGCAATC